CCCCCCCCCCCTCCCTGGAGGGGGGGGAAGCCTCACCTCTAAAATTGTGCTGAGCATCTTCTGAGTCAGTTCATGACTTAGACCAAATTTCCCAAAGATGCTAATCTAATACTGCCACTAGTCTAATTCCAGCTATTCAAAGTGGAGACTAAATCTTATTAGGCTGCTGGATGAGTTCTTCTAGTCCTCCTTTTGAAGGAGGCAGTGAAATGAGGTTGGGTATATATAATGCACTTGTTTTGAGTTCTGACTGCAATAGAGTTCAGAAAGGGGATCCACTAATGGTTTTCTATTTCTTCTATTAGCAAATGGCAACAAGTATGCTGCTACTCTGCTTGGAGCTCCATGGTAGAAAAGAAAAGATCTTGGCTAACTTCATAAGTTTTGCATTCAAAACTAGTATTGCACCAAATCTCATGCTGGAAGGCACTATTAGTCCCAGAGTCTCACTCTCTGAAATGGGACTTTAGTCTTGCTTAAACTGGGCAACTTGCTTTTGCAAGCAAAGTACTTGCCCTTATCAGTAGAGTTAATTAGCTGAAACAATTAACTGAGTTTTATTGCTTCAGACTTGGCTACTGCAACTTAGCCAAAGGCTGTCTTGCAAACAAATGAGCAAAACAAAGTAATCTTATCAAATTCCCTTCTCAATGCAGATAGACCCTCTGACCACTCCCCTGTTAAAGAGACTTGCCACAGAAGAGACTTGCTTAGCTTCTTGGGTTGAGTAAAATGCCTGTAGTGCTATTTTTTTTAAATGGTTCTGTTGGAGAGCATGCATAACTAGGTGTATAACCATGAACATGCATGTTATACTTATGTCAAGAGTTGATGCAAGAACAGTTTTTTTGGTTTTGTCCATGGCTTTCCCCCTGGTAGTTCATTCATTTATGTTGTAGCATGCAGACTTATCCTATCGAAGTGAGCATCGCTTAAGGAGAAATATTCTTGTGGCCCTATGAGGGTTCATTCATAACATTAAAGTATAACTTCAGCTTACCCTTATAGCTGGAAGGATAAAACTTGTAAGTGACTTGAGGCAGCCTTAAATGCACTCTTTTTTTTAATCCAACACTTATGTGCTCATGTCAGGAAAATGCAAGGACAAGTAACATAGACCTCTTAATGTCTAAACCCCTTGTAATAGGCCTGGGCAGTACTGGAGTTCTAACTTCTCAAATGTATTTCACAATGGTTATTCCATTACTATATTCAGGCCAGGACATCTGGCTCCAAAAATTCAAGTTTCTTCAAATAAGAAGTTGAAACTGCTTGAACGAAGTCCATAGAGTATTATTCAGCTTAGAAAATAAGCTTCACACTAACTTCAGTAAAACCCCTGCATGGTCCACTGCTAAGTGATAAACACCTTTGGAGGGGGAAGGACAAACCATGTTGGTCCTCTTAACACATTAGCCTGTTCCATCCTTGCATCTCCATTACAGTATTGTAACAACCTCCTGCTTACACTTCTGCAGAACAGACTTGAGGCAAGTAAGTGTTCCCCTATATCATAAAAGGAAAATAAAATGGAGTTCTGCAGTTCAGTTGCCATATTTAGTGCAAGATCCCATTTGGTGGTCTTGCCATATAAAGAATTCTTCACTTGTATAAATTCTACTGTACTTTGAATTCCAGGTAAGGATCTTCAACTTGGTGTGGCTCAAAAAAGGACTGGGTTGAGGACTGTTGGTACTC